TAGCGGTAATGTGTGAACTTAAGTCTTATTAATAATTCATATAAAAATGTGTATGTATGTGTGTCAGCTGGTTTTATGCTACTATATTGCCGCTTTTACTATGAGCTAATTAATTGTTTAACCCTTTAGTTGAAAGGTTGATAAACTGACAAAAATTTTCTAATGAAACTGTAGGCTTCTTCTTCTCTACTTGTAGAACAGTTAATTTAGCGTTATGTATTTATGTAAACATTTATAGGCAAGTAATAAAGCTGGCATCTGTTATGAAAGTCAATTAATCACTGGAAAGTTGTAAGAATTATTTGAATTTTAGTTAAATTGGTTTTAAGCTTATTTGCGACTTTTTGAAAACTTTTTCATTTATTCAATCTAACCCGCAACTGGTCCGAGACTAGTAACGGAAAATTTTCGAATATTGTCAGAAATAACGCTGAAGTAACTGTAAGCAGTTTTAGATATTTTCCTGATTTTTCGTAAAAAAAATTAAACTAGTCCATAACTAGTGGTGCATATGTTCCCAATTATTTATTTTTATAGTTTTGATGATACGCTTTTGGAATTGTTCCTCAGCACATTTGCGACAAATTTGACACTTTTTCAGATATTCAAACAAGTCCATAAAATTACAAAAATTTTAAGAAATAACCTGGAAGTTATTTTTTAAGGTTTTTACATTGCACTGAATTATTTCTAAAAAATATTTCAAAGCTTTCTGTTACTATTTATTTCTTTGAATTATCAAAATAACTCCAAATTTTTCTGTAAAAATTATTATCTCTGTGCCTCTCACGTATAATAAAAGTAACAAAAAAGTAACTAATTTTTAAATCTTTTTCAGGAGAAAATGCCCCCCGCGCTGATATTGTAAAAGAAATTTAAAAAAAAATTTAGAAAAAAATGTATTATTTAATAATTAAAGAATCTCTAAAGCAGTTAATAGAATGACTCAATCTTACCATCAAAACAATGAAACTTAATAAGCGAAATTTCTTTTATTTTCTCTTCAAAAGAATGTGAGAGGAGAAAGAGTGGGCGCTTGCTGAAAGCAATTAAATTCGCAATTAATTATATGCGAAAAAAAAATTTCTTTCTATTTTTTTTTTATAATAGCTAAGTCTGCGCTAAGCCGCTTTACATCAGCGACATTTCAAATATATTTAAGTAAGGGTGTGTCATAGAAAAAATAAACAAAATTCTTAATTCTTTCTCCAGACTGAATTCAGGGAAATTTATTTACCTCAAAAAGCAATAATTCACCAGACTATGGCATTAATCCATAGCAATAAAGCGAAAGCGGTGAAATGTGCGAATACATAATATATTTATATGTATATATATATATGTATTTATATAGAATATAATATAATAAGTATACTCGTATGTAGTCTTCGTGGCGCTATGATCATTATTATATATATATATTTGACCTGCTGATTATGTTAAGACAACGAATATGTATATTTAAAAATTTCAATATAATTATTTTATATTTTTTTCCGAAGAATTCCTACTAAATATTACCAAGCATGCACTGCCATTTGCTAATTATAACCAATTATAATGTAAAAAAAGAATGTGATATCAAATCACCACATTATCACATCACGTCACTGCAGCATCACATGATGCAAAAATCCGTCACTTATGACAAACACCATAGTGATATTAACGAGGTAAACATGAAGTGCATATTCCAAGCTACTAAAAATAAAAATATTTCTCAAAGCTTCTAATAATCCACATTCAATCAACACATCGTGATATCACGAGATGACTTTTATTCTTTTAAGACGAATTTTGTTAAATAAAAAGTGCAAATAAGCGGCAATTAAACACAATAAAATTGCTAAGTCATCCCCACTAATGCAATGTCACAATAATTTTCTTTTCAATCACGAAAGCGTGGTTGATAAATGCAATTACTTGCAACTTGTAGATATAGAATATTTTATAATCGATTGATGAGAGATAAAAATGAATAAGAAAAAAAAATAAAATTTGAAAAAATAAAATAATTAAGTAAATAAAATAAAACAATAAGATAAAACAAATTAATTAGATAAAACAATATAAAATACTATTATTAATTAAATTATAAACCAATAACACAGTAAAATGAATAGCTAAAATAATACAGCTAATAATAAATAATAATGTAAAACTATATAAAATAAACAAATTAAAAAAAATCATTATATAAAATAAAAATATGTAATACCTCAAATAATATAAATTCAAATAAAATGAAATAAACAAAAATAAATTAGAATAAAATAAAAAAGTAAAATTAATAATTAAAATAAAATGCAGCTAATAACATATAATAAAACATAAAAACCAGTTCCTATTATAAAAAAATAAAATAAAATCAAATAAAAAAATTAAATATATTAAAAAAAAATTAAAATCGACAAAATATAATGAAAAAAAACATTACATAAAATGAAATGAAATAAAATATACTTAAATAAAAAATATAAATAAACAAAATATTATTAACACAAAATAAAATAATATAATAAATGTAAATAATATAAAATTAAATAAAATAAAATATAATTAATTAAACCAAATAAATTATAATACCTTAAAACAAAATAACATTATTTAAAATTAAATAAAATTAAATAATAAAAAACATATCAAATAAAACAAAATAATTAATACAAAATTAAAAAATAAACTAACATAATATCAAATGATTTTAATAAAAGAAATAAAATTATACAAAGAAAAAAATGTTAAATGAAGTAAAATAAAATACAATAAATTATACAAAGTAAAATAAAATAAATAAAAAATATAATATAAAAAATTAAAATACAATAAATACCTTCAAGCAAAATAAAATTAATCAAATGTAATTATATAAAATATAATGAAACAAAATAAAAATAAATAAAAAAAAATAAAAGCAAATAAATTATAATAATTCAGTACAAAATAAAATAAAATAAATATAGAATCATCAAATAAAATATATAATATTATAATAATTAAATAATATAAGGTACATTAATTAAAATAAAATCATTGAAATTTAATTATAATATAAAGTTTTTTAGAGAAAAATATATTAAATAAAACACATTCAAGTAGAATAAAGTAAACTAAATGGAACAAAAGAAATTAAAATTAATTAAAATAATAAGAAGTAAAAAAATTTTAAATAAATTAAAAATAAATTCTAAAACAGTAAAAAAACTGAATTAATTTTACTAAATAAAATGGGGAAAAAAATAAAACAACACAAAGTATATAACAATATAATAATTTAAAATTAAACAAATCAAAAACTGAACTACTTTAAAAAAAAATGCAACAGATGAAATCCGGGATATTTTGAAAATTAAGAGCTCCAAACAACTTTGAATTCGTTGCATAAAGCGTAGTAAAATCAAAAAATTACAATCAAAATAATTAAAATAACAATAAACTACATAGCTAACCAACAAAGTGTCAATAAATTTTTCCGCCTTCACTATAACCAAAAACTACGATGCTCAATTTGGGTGCAGCTGATGAAGATGAACGAGCTCCGTTGCGACACACAACAACTTGACACAAGTGACAGACACATGCGCCAACGCATACTCGTGTATGCAAGTAAGCAAGTGTAAATGACTTCCGCAACACGCCCGCTATAAAACATAGAAAGCAATGGAGCAATACCACAGCTAGGAAAGAGGTTGAAAAATGTTTTTTTTTTTTAATTTTAAAATTTTTTTCTTTTTAATTCACTCCCGTGCAACACAGACACAATCGATCAAATTGCCTTTTTTATCTTTTCTAAACACAACAAAAATAATTTGCAATAACAACCGTACCGTCTAATATTTTTAAAAACTCACTAATTTGTTGTTATTGTTTTCATAGCTAGTGTTGCTACTACACATGTTTGCTTTTGCTGTTGCTTTCGACTCCCAAACACTTTGAGCTGTGTTCATTTTTATTGTTATTTTAATAATATATGCTGGTGAGTGTTATTTTTCGTGCATGCCTTAATCATCGTTTCTTGTTTTAAATAACAACAACAACAACAACAATAATAATAATAATAAAGATGGTATCGTTTGACGAAACATGCCTTTGAAGTGATGCTGTCGCTGTGCTATTGCCGCTGACGTTCAATGGCTGGTGATGTGTGTTATGCTGTTGCGATGTGAAGCTGAGATTTTGTTGTTGCTTCGGGTTTTCGCTTTTTATTTTGATTTGCAAAACGCGCGTGCGCTCTCTCAACACTTACTTAAAGGCGTTTAAGTAACAATAAAGTTTATTTAAATACTTTTGGCGTCAACATTTTTTGACGCGCTGCACAGTGGGACAAGCCCAACGATAACTTTAAAAAATATATAACAAATATTTTATGAAATACTTTAAATAAAATTTTCGTTAATATTACATAAACTTTATTGTAATTTTTTCTTATATTATTGTACAAGGGAACTAGCGGCTGCGGTAGCCGAGTGGTTAACATTGTGTACTGCCATTTGGAAGACCCGGGTTTTAAATTAGGACCAACTTACATCTAAAAGTTAAAGAAAATGAACCTAAAGAAATAATTAAATTAAATGTTCTAATTGCAAATGCCCCTCGGCAGAGAAGCTCAGCTACTCAGAGTGCATTTCTGACATGAAATAAAAGCTCTTAATAAGAAATTCATCAGCCGTTCGGAGGCGGCTGTAGGTCACACCATTTTTAGGAAAGGATAAAGACGTAAAACGATAAATTTATCGTCTTCAATTCACTTTATATTCGACATTTAAATAAATTTGATCCACTGTGTCAACTTAAAAATTTTTGTTACTGGAATTAATTTGTTTTTTTTTTTTATTAATTTCTCTACTTGTATTTTTGTTGGGCTTGCTAAATTTTTTTTGCAAAACAAAAAAAAAATCTTTTAAAATATTTAGTAAAATTTTGCTTTTTTATTTACGAATATGAAGTGAGGCGATATAAAGTCTAAGCGACTACAAAGTGTTGACTTTAGTTAATTTAGCTTGATCAGCCTAGTCGTGAGCGGACAAGCGGTGGGTTGTATGTAACGTAGAGTTGCCCTTAAGTGAGCGGAAGTGAAAAAATTAATTAACTTTTCGAGCTACGAGTTTTTAATAAGGATTACTCAAGGATACACGAATATGATTGTGGTAATGAAAAAAGAGGTTTAAGTCATTAAAAGATTTTTAAAAAATGTATTAATATTAATTGGAATTAATTAAAAGAACCATAAAAAAATAAGAAAAAATAATAGAAGTGATCAAAAGCGTGTGTAAGAATGGAACTTTCGGAAATTGATACTGGAAATTTCAGAGTGTGAAAAAAAAACGTTACTAACAACAAAATAGTGCCGCCAACCACACCAAAAAGATCAACCGATATATTCAAGAGGGCTTAGAACTAAATGCCATTCCATTTGTTGGGAATTAAGCTTAAAGTGTAATTTAATGTAATTTAATTAATTAATCGTTTGCTTGAAGAAGCCCACATATGGACATACGTATATGATGAAAAGACGCAATGTAATTATACACAATTATATTTGTTAAAAATAAATAAATAAAATAAAGTTAGAATTGCTGACATGGGGACAAAAGAGTAGGTATTGGATCAGTTTTTAGGCAGTAAGCCCCTTTGGAACCCTCAAAAAAGCGTTTCTCAGCAATTTTTCTCGAAAGGGAGGGCAATTATTGCGCTAAATGAAGTATTATACTAAATTTAGGCTTCGAAAAACAATTTTTAGTATCAAAATATGTTGAATATTTCAATTTGATGAGCTTTCAAAAGCGACTGCAGTCTGAACTTGTGAAACGGTGCCTGTGATGGACATCGAGCGATGCGTCTGAAACAATCGAATCAAACTTTTTTTTAATCTTCTTAATGTGTTAAAAATAAATCCGAAGAAGTTCGCAAGTTACAAATTTTTTCGAAATTTAAAAAAAAAAATCACTTTAAGTTGCAAAAAAAATAGTTTAAATAAATAGTTTCTTTAGTTCACTTAAAATATAATTTAATACTGAAGCTAGATAATTTTGATCCTTTTCTTTTTGCTGGGAGCTGCAAAATGGGAACTCAAGGAAACGCGCCTCAAAGTTCTACCCAGACATGCGAACATGCACGACGCTCTTAGTGGCCGAGCTGCTCTAGCTTCCAAAATATGTCGAATTGGCCACTAAAATTTTGAAGGCATATTTTTGAATAATTTTAGAATAGACTCAAAACCGTATAATTTATTTATTTAAAAAAAATATATTGAAAAAGCAAAGTTTTTGAAGATAGATAGACGCATTAATTGACAATTTTTTTTTTTTTATTGGTGGACTTTTTAATTTTTTATACCTTTTCCAATTATATTTATTTATAAATATTTTAAATTGCAATGAATATTTTTGGTATTAAAACCGACCAAAGAGAGACATTTTAGGAGTTAACTGCCGTTTAGTTCTCGCTGATAAGTCCAATAGGCACTAAATAAGAGTGTCCCCGGTGGAAAAAAGTGGTTTCGAGAAAAACGCGATTAAAGTACTCCATCGGCCGGATTTCTATACTTACTTCTTGGTCTTGCGGACCTTCGGGTCTAAATCTATATTATTTCTAAAATTATAATTTTTTTTTCATTTTTTAGAGAAACCTGGCTCTAAGAAAAAAAAAATCATTTTGAAGCCTTTAAAGCACACTTCAGAATTGATTGTACACAAGCAGGAAGATGTTTCATTAAATCTCCGCTGATATCCTAGGAGCACTCTCAATATTAATTGTATATTTCTAGAAAATGATTATAATGTGTCCGCAAGTTCGGGGATTAATAACTGTGCAACTCTCTTGTCTGTTGTGAAAATATTGCCCGGAATCTTAAACTTCCATCTGCTCAATCAATATCCTATTTGCCTAAAAAAAAAGTAATCTCTATTGGTTAGTGCAAAGTGGATCCGTTACGATTAGAAGGATGATTATTTAGGAGGGCTTAGAACAAAAGCTCATCGTGCTCCATTGGATAAACAGTTTTAATTTCATACTTCTTCAATTTGCTGAGAGCCAGTAAACGTTCTGTAATTTAAATCGGCCCCTTGGTTGAACTCCAGCACCTTTAATGCTTCTCTAGAGTCTATTGCTTTAGATAAAGTTTGCACCCGTCAACGAAAAACGCGAATAAGCAGTCTCCAACTCTCAAGACAGCCGGTTCTTCGTACCGAAATCGACCCGGATTTTGTCCGGCCAAGGGCTGACACCCTTTCGGCGACCTAATCTCGTTTAGGTCAACAGGTAATAAGCAATCCCCCTATTTTCATGTGAAGATCACCGGTTTGCGGTTGGCTAGCCATTATTTCACCCAGACTTTCGCCGAGACATTTGACTGATTTGGAGAGCACATTAATCTTAACCCATTAGAATGGTGAACTAAATTACTAAATTAGTGTGTTAGCAGTAAAATAAACGACTTTAGATTTTGCCGAATTTTCAGTAAGACTTCGTCCCTGTGTCCAATAAAAGTATATGTGAAGAACCTTTACGATTAGCACATCTTCAGATACAACCTCTCCATTGGTTAATAAACATATACTACAACCAAGCAACCAAGTTCTCGTCGCTCCCAAAAGAGGGTTTTGATGAGAATACTGACTCACTCTCTCTACGTCCACTTATTTATAATATTTTTTCGCGTAGAGCGCTATCAGATGAAAACAAATTTCTTCAGCGACGAGATATTTGGGGCTCTTAAAATTAAAAAATATTTAAAGAGTGGCCAGTACACCAAAAAAAAATTACTGTCTGTTACGCAATTTGTTTCGGAAGTGTGATTGGACTTGACTTTTTTGAAAACGCCAACGGCGAGACCATCACTGTCAATTCGGCGCCTTATGGTCGTATGGTAAGCGACTTTTTTCAGCCTGCAATTTTAGAAAACCATCAGTGGTATCTACTAGTTTATTACATACGTCAGACAAGATGAGCGAATATGGTTTTATTGCGAGAGAAATTTCTCGCCCACGTAAACTCTCATCTTTGCCGATGTCAAGTGGCTACCGAGATCGTACGATTTGGCACCGTCGGATTTTGTTTTGTAGAGATACGCGAAAGATTTAACTCGTGAGCACTTGAACTCCAACATGCATCAAATTGTGGCGGTGGTAAATCCCAATACGGGCCGAAGAATTGTATAAGATTACCTCAAACGGTTCGAAATCTACAAAAAAACGCAAGGCGGTCATTTGAATGATGTAATGTTTCACATGTCAAGTTTCAAGCTTTGAATTATTTTAAATTAATTTTTGTTCTGTTTTTTTTCGATAATTCTGTACACATATCAGTTTTTCCTTGCCTCCACTCAACATTTGATGAGCATTTGAAGTAATAATAAAATTTCTTAGCAATAAATACTACTATAATTATATTAAGCTAGATAATTGATAACTTACAGATTGAAGTAGGCAGAAAATAATATTATAAATAATTTCACTAAATAGAAAATAAATTATTTTCAAAATTTAAATTTTAAACACGAAAAACTAATTAACTACGAAATCACTTAAGAACACACACAAACAAATAATCATAAATATGTATTTATTTAAATTACTTTCGATATAAGAAAATCAAATTGAATTAAATCTTAAAACCAGCAACATGAAATAATTCCCTACGGCTTTTACTTAAACATGCCTAGTTACAAACATATTTACCTATACAAAGCTCTTTGAAGCAGACACTGACTGTCTCGGGCATTTACAGCGACAGCGTTTCAGTTTTAAATTGAATTTACTTTTTCGTCATTAGAATAATTTTATAAATACATTTAATCCCAAACGAAAATTTATTTTGCATATTTTATAGCGCCACAACAACAACAACAACAACAGCACAATACTCTCTAAACTTCTGCTACTCAGCTATGCCTCCTTACTGCTAATGCTGAGCGCGCATTGGGCCACTGCGCTGCCCATCATGCGCGACTCACCAATACAAACCATTATTGTGCCCTATCAACGCAACACCGTTACCGGTCATCCCTATCAATTCCCCCGAATGTTAAGCAGCGAGAAGCGGCAAGTGTTGGTGCCTGCGGTGCTGGAAGTGGTGCCGCGTTTCAATCTCAATCAAGGTGACATGGCCATGGGCAGTCAGAAAGGTGCGCCTTTGAATTTCGCCGACGGCGCCTATCCGGTCTACTATATGCCGAGCAATGTGAATGGCAAATTCAATGGCAAAATTTCACTGCTGGAGGGTGTGGTGAAACAGGAGTAGTTGGGAATGGAGGTGAAAGTAATTTTCTAATTTATTTACTTTGTAATTTACACTAATTTAAATAGTTTAATTTATGCAAAAAAAAAATGTTTTTAATTCCACCTAACAAATTCACTGTGATACTGATAGTGCACAATAGTTCATATAAATATTTATATAAAATGTAAAAAAAAAATATTTGTAGTCATTTTTACACCTTTAAAGAGAATTATAATAGATATATAAAGGTGTGTCTCTGCTACGCTTTAAAAAATAAACTCACTTTGCAGTATGTGTATTTATGCTTGATTTATGTAAGTATGTCGCTGTGTTTTTTTTTTTGAAATTTTTTCACTTAACAAATTATGCAAATAATTTGCTATATCGAGATATGAGTGAAAGCTTTCAATATTGATTTCTTAAACCATTTATAATGATTTTTTATTGATTTTTTTTAATTTTGATTATTTTTTCTTTTTTTTTTTTTTGCTGACCTGCTGAATGTTTTTTTTTTTTTAAACCCATTTGAATTTTTACTGTTATTTTTGTTCAGAAATTTGTCTTATTTGTTTTTATAACTTTCTCCCTCCTTCTGCTTCTATAAAATGCTTTCAAATTAATTCATATAAGATATTTAAAGTGACGTAAATACATTTTTAATATAAGAAAATTACAAAAAAAATTAAAAATATTGTTTTTTTTTTAACATTTAATCTTCAGATAAAAGTTTGTAAATACCGGTCTAGTAAAAAGTAATCCATTATTTTTGCAATAAATGGCTTCAGTGATCTGTATCTCGCATTCTAGATAATATTTTATACTTAAAAAGCAATAGTTTCACTCAGAAAAGTTTAAGTGCATGTCAAAGATGGGCTTATGAAAACTGAAAATACGCCATATTCAAAAATTATTGTTCGATAAAGGTGGAAACGGAAATACGCTCCACGATGTGGAAGGACAATTGTCAAAAATGTCAATAAAATAATGGAAATCGTCGAGTATGACCGTCATGCGAACACTGTTTCGATTCCCAAGGATCTTACCTTTGCACAAAACACGGTTTGGAAACACTAGAGAAAGGCTGGATACACAAAGGAGATCATTGCATTGGTACCACAAGAATTAAAAACAAACTCATTGACCGAGTTCCCAACTGCGAATGGCCGAATTGTTAGTTCATACCACGGTTGGGGTCGGTGAAGTGGCCGCCTAAATTGTGTAACTTAACCTCCATGGACGGATTTAGTTTTGGTGTAAAGCCCACACCGATTAACAGACGATTCACGAATCTATTCATGATGTGAGATAAGTTGGAGAAAGTATGCCAAAATTAGCCCTGATGTATGGACCAATTGTAAATCACTATATCAAATAAATATTTTACACATTTTTCCGAATATTACGTAATATTTTTTTGTTTAATAGAGAGCTCGTAATACGTCGTATTTGTGAATAAATTCCTTGAATAGCAATTTGTAAATAGCAAAAGGTATGTTGTTGTTATTGTAACCACAAATATATTCCCCAAAGTACTTTTTGGGGGATGTTGCGGGAGCGACTGTTCTTGGCCGAATAAAAATCCAGATCGTTCCGGCATAAGGACCCGACCGTCGCGTGAACTATTGGACTTAAGTCGCCTCCTACTACAGGCATGCCTTACCGTGGGTAAATTCTTGAACATCCGCGTATTAGTGCATTCTTGATCGCACAGAAATCATCTGCCTTCGTTCGATGACCCGATGTGACCAGAGGTTCATGTGAGAAAGTTAGCATTTTCTGTTTAAATCACGTACTAACCCGAGAAAAAGCCAAATAACGCATTAAAAGGTGGTAGGAGACGAGAAAGTAGCAGCAAACAAGTATCCGGGAATACATTAAGACCTTTTTACTGACGCGGAGATGTCTCATTAAGCGCGTGAGAAGTTATCAGTTCTCTCTCCTCTTATAGAGGACGATAAGAGTCCAGCAGAATTTGGGAGTTTAACATAAATGAGGTAAGCGCTTTTGCAACTGATAGAGAAGATATCGTTTCTCGTCAAGCTTATTAGCATGTATACCAGACATATCTAACTTCGAAGCCCATGCAAAGGTGGGAATGTAAGAAGAAGCAGTATCAACCACGAGCGCAGGAAGTACCAATACCAATGAGAACGCGAATATAGAAAGATCCTCGTCTGTTTTCCTAAGAGCGGCAAAAAAGCCGACGTGGAGTTGAAATTAGTTGGATAGATAGCTGAGTTAGTCTCGCAGAAAAAGAGATGAAAGACAAAGTCAACCTGGAAATCCAACGCAAAATCACTCGGAATGATTAGGTAATTGGAAACTAAAGTCCCCCCACGATGAACGAAAACCAAACAAAAAACAAGTCACTTACAGTGCCCGTCTTGTTATATGGTCCGAAGACGTCGGGTTTTCGATAGAAAGCTTCTGCGTAACGGCGAATACCGCTGTATAAGATATTCGACAAAATTGACATACTTCAGCGAATCAAGAAGCAGCGGCTGCATGGCTAGAGCATGTGGTCCAGATGGATAAGAATACTCGTGTTAGAAGCAGAGCAAAGGAAGAAAGACAAGATAGAGTAGGACCTGACTGTACTTGGTATCTCTATTTGACGCCAAACAGCGAGAAAAAGGAATGAATGGCGTAATGTTATAACTTTGGCTAGAAACACATTGCAAACACATAAGCTCCAGTAAAGTAATCGAGTAATTCAAGTCTGCCATGCTCAGCGAAAGAAGCGACACATTTTCAGCATATTAAATGAGATGAGGTCTTTCAGAAGCTTTCATCAAAAAAGGATTTTCTTAACTCTCTCCATATGTAAATCAGCACAAATTTTTATCATAAACTCCGTCTCGTTTTTTGCGGTTTCTAGAATCAGCTATAGGGTCTAGTTGGCTAAAATCTGAGTTTAAGAGACTAGATGAGTTTTATCAAGTCAGTTTAAGACTTTTGAGGCAGGCAGCTGAAGATGACACCAGAAAATGTAAACACTTCATATAAGAAGCCATTATATCTGCCTTCCTTGTGATAACTCGAGTGGTTCGAGTAGTACAATGCTTGCTCTTGAAAAATGTTATGTCGCGATTGAAAGATCTCCGTTCAGGACGGGCAGTCTTTACTCTCTTAAAGCAATGGAAACAAGTGTAATTCACCGGTTGAACCAAAGCAAATACCCAAACGGCAAAAACGCGCTTTAAGATTTGGATATATTTTAGCTCCTTTCTCCAGACGTTTGGTGTGAATCTAATAAAAAGCGCCTTCCCCCACCTGTAAAATTAAATAACGGCATTAAATAGCTTTGCTAAAACTATATTAACTGACCGCAACTTTGACATGAATTAACCCTACAAGTACACACGTACACATACACACACATACACAAACCCACACAGAGCATAATATTTACTAAAATCACAACCAGAGAAGCGAGTACACAGAAGAAGCATGAAAACTGAGTGAACTTTCCGTCAACACACACAAACGAGCTGACACTGCCACTGAGACGAGCTTAACAAGCAAAACTTGTAACAAATGCTTGTCGCGATAGAAAAATAATAACAACAAACATACACACAGCTGGTTTTGATGGCTATAATAACAATAATATACATAGTAACAACAAAAGTAATAGCAACAACAACAGTTCAATGCACAAAAGTCTGCTTGCAAATCCCACTAAAAAAAGCAAAGCAAAACAAAACAAACGAAAAAGAAGAAGAGGAACCCTTAACAATAGGTGTCGCCACAGCGGTAATAGCAAACTGTGAACAATAACAACGAGTCAACGTGAGTTCCCACAATATCAACAACAACAATAATAACCAGAAATGTCAACAATAGTGGCAACACTATCATTAGACGCCCAAACCGCAAAAGCGTTAGGAGCAGAAAGGGCAGATGAAGGTGAAAACGAAGGCGAAGGCGGCGAACAGCTGTTGGAAAGTACATACGCTCCGAGCGTGCGTATTCACATAGCAGCGACGGCAAGAGATCGAGCATAAGCACTTGATTGAAAAAGGAAATGACTGTGTGACTAAGGAAAGTTGCCATCAGACGTTTGTTGGTGTTTGCAACGCTTAGCCATTATTTCGACCCCTAATTATATGCGGAAAATTGAAAAATAAATATATGTATAAGAAGTGCACATGGATATAAACCAAAAATGGGAGAAGGTTTTCGTATTAAGAGTAATTCGAAAAGGAATTACGCTGGCTGGAGCCCAGTTGAAGCGAGGCCTGCTTGCTCGGGATGACTTGCTATTGAGGAATGTTAGTAAAAACCGTGCTTTACTTTTCAGAAAGAGAGTTTAATGGAGAGCTTTAATAAACTAGGTTTTTTTGGAAAAGTTTGATAAGTCCTAAAATGCCAGTAAATTTTTCATTGAGAATTATTGTAGAAAGCGTTACTCTGTCTGGTGCTCAGCCAGTAAAGACCTCTTTGTTCGGAAGATGATCGTAATGACCCTACCCACCTTTCACAGAGATCTGAGACTAGGAGTTATGTTGCCTTAGACTAATTTCGGTTACGGAACATCGACTTCACTATTTTCGAACACAAAATATCGGCAGGTGTCTAGATGGGTGGTTTTACTGGCTCGACATGTGTATTTCATATTGAGATCTAAGCATCCCCCAAATAACTCATTTTCTTTAGCAAGTTTTGAATTATGCTCACATATCCTTCATTTTAAGAAAGAAATTTTCTTATCTTACGGCTTTAGGCACATTTTCTTATACAGCATATAAAAGACTCTTATGTCTCCTATATTGTAGGAAATAATATTTTTGGCCGGAAATAACAATCTCTCCCAGTGAACTAATGACATGAAATAAAGGCTTATAACAATCAAACAGCCGTGGCTTAGATTAAACTATGGATCTCTCCGTTTTGTTGTAAAGAAAAAAAACAAGTGTCCGAAACGGTTTACACAAACGGCTCAGCCGCAAGTCGCTTCAGTGGTTATAAGCCACACAAGGCAACCTTACGATTGGCATTCCCACGTAAATCCTTCCATTACACCACAAGGCAGACCTGGAACAGTTAATTATCTTTCACAAACTAAATTTAGAAGGAAGGTGGCTTCTGGGAGCATTCTTAGCAACAGAAACACTCTCGACGATGGCCAAACCGACATGTCTGTGACTAGGATATGAACTGACTCAGAAGTTAACTGTTGAGCTGATAGACGATTTCCACACCAATGGAGGAAGTTGTACTTCATAATGTTAAAATATAGCAAAGATTTACTCTCTCCTCTCTATTTAATATGGCAAAATCCAAGAGTGGACGCGATATGA